CAATGGTTGAACTTTGATTGGTCCAACTTTACTTACATCATGACAATGATTGAACTTAGATTGGCACAGCTTTACCTTTATCGTTGATACACATCCAACTTTTATTATCTAAAGACATTAAACTTTCTAATCTTTATAAAGAGGGCTCAAACTGAAATTAGATTCAAATTATTTCTTTTTATATCATTGTTATATGGATCCCCAACAAAGCCTTCAATGCACAGACACTGAGGATGATGATCCACTGTTATACATTTTGCATGTGGTCCACATATTTTAGTTTGGCAAGCATCTGTCAATAAAGTAGTCTTTCTTAGTATCATGTTTACAAAATGTGAAGTTAACTCCAATGGAAAATACAGCTCATTGTGAGCAATAACTTGATTACAGAGTTCTTACAAGTACAGAGTAACAAATATTAAATGAAGAGTAATACCGTTTGTTGTTTAACGGCCATGTGAAATACACAGAACATAACTGCTTGGCTTAATTTACATTATATTTTGTATCTTATTATAGAATCATATGTTTATAATATACAAGTTTCAAATATTTACCAAAAAATAAAAGAAAATGCCTAAACTGAATGCTGCATGTGTATTGATACATGGTATTTTTAAACTGATTTGCCCCAAAGTGTTTATCTCTGATTTTTTCATAAAGTTCTGATATTTTTAAACTGATTTGCCCAAAAGGGTTTATCTCTGATTTATTCATAATGTTCTGATATTTTTAATTGATATGCCCAAAAGTTTTATCTCTGATTTATTCATAATGTTCTGATATTTTTAAACTGATTTGCCCAAAAGGGTTTATCTCTGATTATTTCATAATGTTCTGATATTTTTAAACCAATTCGCCCAAAAGTTTTTATTTCTGATTTATTTCATAATGTTCTGATATTCTTAAACTAATTTGCCCAAAAGTTTTTATTTCTGATTTATTTCATAATGTTCTGATATACTTAAACTAATTAAACAAGTCTTTATCTATGATTATTTTTTTTCATAATGTTTTTCACACAGCTAGTCTTAATATTTTAACATTAATAATGTTAGGTTACCGTATCAAATTATGACCTAATTTAAGCCTAATGTGAAATAATTTTCTGTTAAACATGCAAATATACACTGATGATTATAAATTTATACATATAATTTCCTACCCAGTTTGCTGGATGTTTCTTATTCATTTACAAACTATGATATTTATTAGGTTTGATGTACATAAAGCATATGTTACAGGAAATTCATACCGTAGCAGTCCCTAACTCCATCTGGATCAGCACGACACATGGCGTTAGATGGACAGTCGTCATCGTATGTACACAAATGGATTGGAAGAGCTGTATGTGAAAGAAAGAAAGTACTTGTATGCTACATCTTTCGAACACAAGCAATATTCAAAACCTTTAATCTTACATAAAAAGAAAGCATTTTATGACCCAAAGTTCTTAGTTTTGGATATAAAACATCACTCACTTTTACATCCAACTTCCTGGTTATAAGCATCTCCAGTATATCCAACATCACAAGTGCACACAGCCCGATGTGCAGAAACTGTACATCTGGCATTTTGTCCACATAACGTCTCTAAGCAAGCAGCTGTGTATGTGGATTAGAAAATAACATTAATAATTGACCAGTTCTTCAATATAAATACAATTCTTTATAGAAAGTAAAAACAAATTTATTTATAGTCCAGTGTGATAATTACTCTTGTAAGGTAATCACCAACAAATATATAATAATTTCCTTAAATCCTTGGTTGTGAATGTAAGTGTTGAAATGTTATTGTTTTATGTCTTTAAATAATATTGTATATGACATGAAGCTTCATACATTTATTTTATATCAGTAATATTCAACATAATTTTATGTCAATCCTGTGAAAAAGAAAAGGGCGTTGTGTTTATTTGTGTTCTAGATGATAAACTCAAAAAAATTAAAAGATTAGACTTTTTATTATCAGAAAATAGTCTTGGAGAGATAAAGACTGAAGTTTAAATTATAAGCAGTTTAAGATAATTATTTATTTTTGTTTTATAAGAAAATGTATTCTTTGTTAGCTTGCTCACTTTACAAAATGTAGCAGCTTCTGTAAACTAAACTACTTAAAGAACTTAATCCATGATTCCAGAATAGAGAAGATGAATTTAAAGAACTTAATCCATGATTCTACCATAGAGAAGATGAATCTAAAGAAGTTAATCCATTATTCCAGAATGGAGAAGATGAATCTAAAGATGTTAATCCATGATTCCACCATAAAGAAGATGAATTTAAAGAAGTTAATCCATTATTCCAGAATAGAGAAGATGAATCTAAAGATGTTAATCCATTATTCCAGAATAGAGAAGATGAATCTAAAGATGTTAATCCATGATTCCACCATAGAGAAGATGAATCTAAAGATGTTAATCCATGATTCCACCATAGAGAAGATTAATCTAGAGATGTTAATCCATGATTCCACCATAGAGAAGATTAATCTATAGATGTTAATCCATTATTTCAACACAGAGATGATGAATCTAGAGATGTTAATCCATGATTCCAGCATATAATTTTATGGAAATCAAAGTAAACAAGAACTTACAAACACACTTCCGGATCTTATCCAAGTCCACACGACATACTCTGTCACTCGCACAGTCACCATCGGCAATGCATTCGTGAGGCACTAATTTAATGTAAAATCAAAATATTCATCTTCTCTATTCTGGAATAATGGATTAACATCTTTAGATTCATCTTCTCTATTCTGGAATAATGGATTAACATCTTTAGATTCATCTTCTCTATTCT